ATTAAAATTAATTAATAGTTTTCAATTAAACTTAATTAATATTGGTAATAACTATTATTTTTATTTATAATTTATTAATATTTATTTATAATTAATAATAATAAATAATTAATATTAATAAGGGTTGCAATTGAAAAAAGGTGAGAAAAGCTCCTCATAAGCTACTCCAAATAACGTTTTAATAATATAGCTTATGTGCATACAAACGTATACCAAAAAATAAGTTAATAATTTTCTAAAAAGCAATGTAATAATTTCAAATTTAACCTTATCAAAGGTGCAAGATATTTATCAAATTTCTTCGTTTACATTTGAAAACCATCATGATATTCTTTCAAAACTCGGTGTTTTTTGACTCAAGTTTACGATGTAAATGCTTAAAAGCAACCATTATATCATTCCATGATCGGGATTTATCCTTTGTGCAATGGTCTGAAACCACTACTCCTTTGTTTCAGGAGACAGAGTCTCGTGTCGAAATAACTTTAACATGATCGGTTGCTTTTTTCCACTAATGCGATATTGACATCTTAAAATTCATATGGATGTTAAAACAAGGGTGAAACATAGTTAATGTTGCATATTTTATAAAAAAAATTGTTGATATAATAATGATTAAACATTAATATTTTCAATATAAAATCGATATCCATTTTACATAATAAAATTATAAAACCAATTTTTTAATTAATCATTAAATTTTCTAGAAATAAATTGTTTATATATTAAATAATAAATTTATAAAGCACTATCTTTAGAATCCAAAAAATAAAGTTGAATAATATAATAAGTTTTTTTAATTAACCTGAATATATAACCCTTTATGCGAACCGACTAATCACCAAACGACCACATGCTTTGCAGATAACCCAGAGTTACCGCATTTGAATTTCCGTGACCACAAGGGGATTTTTATTCATACTTGGATTTAAACATTGACCTCCTGATAATTTTGACCTTTGAAGCCAAACACAAACCAATCAGACACCACCTTGTAGTTTAATATAATAAGTTTATTAGTGGAGTGAGGGTCCCAAAAGCCTTCATTTATATGCACCAACAAATATCTAGTTATTATTATTATTAAAGTAAATTACGTTTTGGTCCTTACGGTTTGTTAAAAATTCTGAATTTAGTCCTTGTGGTTCTAAAATTTTGGTTTTCATTCTTATGGTTTGTAATTCATTTCTATTTTCGTCCCTGCTTCCAAAATACTATTTTTAAGTATAAAGGACTAAAACAGGTATTAATTGCAAGCCATAAGGATGAAAAAAGCAACATGTTCATACTTTCATGATATATTTTATGATATTTATATGTTATGTTACATTTATACTTTGTATACTTTTAGGATGTGTTTGCTACGTTAGATAGGACATGACAAAATTGAATATGGATCTATGTTCCATGTTTGACAGATTTTTTATATGGAACAGAGTGAAACAAAGTGAAACATGTCTGTTCCACCCTACCACTAGAACATGGTGGAATAGACTTACATTTTACTAATATGACCTCAAACTTAATTCTTTTCTAACACATCAAATAGATCATTTTTTTTATATTTTATTCATTCTTTAAATTTTATTTATTGTATTTTATATTTTCTAAATTTTCATTTAATTGTCCTCAAAATATTATTTTTATATGATTTCTATATTTTTATTAATTTGTTATATAWTTACATGTTATAAGAACCATCCAAATTTAATATTCAACTAGTTTTATCGTCTAAACAAAAAACATCCAAAATCATCATA